GCCGCTGATTTACAGCGTGAGGCCTTTTCCAACGCAGTTGCACATTATTCCTGCTGACGAAGGAATGATTCAATAAAGAAATACGGCCAGAACTGAGCAAATCAGTGCTCAGCGCAGGTTTCGGCCGTGTACCGTAGCGGTCTCCCAGCTGCGGCTGGGCGTTAGGCATCAGCATAAGCGGATCAGCCAGCCACCATACGGTACTTGCCGGTAACACCAAAGCCCTTCAACCCATAAGTGCTGTGTACCGAGCTCAAAAGCTAATCCACGTGTAACCGGTCCAGGGATAATGTTCCTGTTTGGCACAGCGGTCCGCTGCTGTGGCAAAACAGCGTCTGTCCCAAGTCGTCTGCCGACATTCAGGTCGACATCCGATCCGCTGGGTTCGGAGGGGACCTGTTCCGGTGAGCAGGGAGAATACTGATCTGGTGAGCATCGAGAAACTGATCAGGTGAGCAGGGAGGACAGGTGATCTGGTGAGCGGGGAGGACAGGTGATCTGGTGAGTAGGGAGAGCAGGTGGTCTGGTGAGGAGGGCAGCTGATGTGCTTGGTGGGGAGATTCGCTGGTCTGGTGAGGAGGGAGAACAGCTGGTCTGGCAAGCAGGGAGATCACTGATCTGGTGAAGAGGGAGACCAGGTGGTCTGGTGAGCAGGGAAGACAGCTGATCTGTTCAGCTGAGCAGACGACTGACCTTGTGCAGCTACGGAGAACAGCTGACTGCGCTGGGAGGACAGCTGATCAGGAAGCAGACAAAACAGCTAATCTCGTGAGCAGAAGGAACAGCTGATCTAGAGCGATGGGAGAACAGCTGATCAGGCGGGCAGGCAGAACAGCTGATCAAGTAGACTGGGAGACAGCTGATATTCGTCAGCCAGAACGGCGCCTGATGTTGTGAGGCTGCGGCGCGCCCGTCCTCGTCTCGATGCTCAATGCGCCACGTTTGTCACGCCGACAGGTGCCCTCCCACACGTCCGCCGTACAAATGGCCGCTCCAGACGGCCGATGAGGCCCGATGTCGCCGTCGCGGTGCTCGAACTAACGTGATGGGGTCCCGGGGTCCCGGCGGCCGCGAAATCCGACCTGGATCCCACGTCGGGCAGGGCCGGCCTGATCGCCCGCTTCGAACGAAAGCCGGCCCTAGATTCCTGCCGTAATTAATGGTCACGGAGTGCGTCGCCGCGCCCTAAAACCCTAATCGTTAGAGCGACCCAACTGCCGTGCTGTGGGCAATTATCAGTACTGGCGGGTTCATTTAGTGCAGCAGTTCAGATAGATGGAATTACTTGTTTGCACTTGGCAAGCATTGAACACGCGCCGGGGTGGCCGACTGAATACACTTCGCTCGGGTGGGGGTAAATTTGACAGCTTGAGGTCTCAGAAACTATATATATAGTATATAGTTTCTATAGACACCAAATTCATAGGATCTGCTGATCTGTATGTGAAGACAATTATGTCAAAATTTAGGGTTCCTAGGTCATGATCTTCGGCTCAATTAGAGCAAAAAAGTCATTCCGGTTTGGTGTCCGAAGCACCCCAGACTTTCTCACACAACTACCGTGAGCCTAAATATCCGTTCCAAGCAAAAGTTACTGGGGCCTGTGTGACTTAAAGAATGTCATGGTGGACAAAATACTTCAAAAACTGCTGTGATTTTGTCATTTGAGTAAGCGTCATGATTACACTATGCGGTATGTCCTTAAAAACATAAAATGTTGACTTGGGTCGTTTTCGGTCAATGACTTATTTTTACCTTTAACAAGTCCATAGAATATGTATGATGCGGTTCATATTATCAATAAATTCACAAATGAGCGCCAGAAGCTGTTGCACACGGCAAGCTCTAGAGTAAAAAACCGATTAGTTTTTACCTTGGCCTCACCTTCACACGTGGGCTAGGGTTAATGAACTTTGGTAGTTCAATTGTTGTATTGCCTAAGGGACTATTTCAGAGATGCATTATTTTGTCTAACACTCCGTTGTTGCATCAGATTGAACGATTCCCTAGAAATTATCTTCACTGGATCCATCGCTTGACTTTGACCTACTGTAGGTCAGCGACATGGCAGAGTACATCAAAATTTTTGATACCAAAATATCCGCTATCTCATTGTCTAAACTATGAAAAATTTGGCGCAGCTACGCCACGTTGTTTCTGAAATCAATTAAACTTGCAATGTTTGATTGTACCTTTTCGTCTTGTTGCTATAATTACGTAAGGCTGCTAAGTGCATTTGGCATGAACATTATGCACATAGATTAGACAGAAGTAATTACCTCATTCCTCGGAGAAAAACTAGGATAATAAAGATATAGATGTGCTGATATTTTGGCAACATGCCTTCATCGAAGCCGATAGTAAAAGTGAATAGATAGATGTAATGACATAAGATGCGTTAGCTAATTGTCTAACTAGTTTTTACCTTGGCATGCCCTTTATACGCAGCCTTAGGTCGGTGGAATTTCGTAGTTTAATTGTTGTACTGCCTGCACATATTTACTCATTTAGTTTTGGCAACGGTGCGCTCAGTGAAACAATGTCATTTTTGTCCCACAGCATTTTTGCATGACTTGGGTGTTGAAAATGGTCCTTTGGCAGTACTTATTACCATGCACTTCTGCTATTCGATTCGATAAAGGCATTTTGCCGAAATATCAACGCATCCCTTCCCATCCATCCGTCCCATCCCATCCCCATCCCTTGTTTTTTTCTCCGAGGAATAAGACTATTACTACCGTGTTATCTGTGTGTTGCTAATAACGTTAAATAGTTGAACCTGCAAAAAATGTGGCTCATACTGATGTGCATAAAGTTTTTAACAGTTTTGCTGGTTTGCGTGGCGTCTTTCTTTTCCCAGTCATTTCATTTGTATCATACCGTATTTCTACACAGTTCGGCTGTTGATAGGGGTCCTTTGGCAGGCTGGTATTTAGTGCCTCTGCGTGCATCCTGTTTACATGATCAGTGCATGTCATGGTGTCATAGACGGCAAACGGAAGCAAAATGCGCAGCGATGGATGCGTCTCCAATGCTCGGCATCTGTTAGTGTAACAAATAGACGTTTTGAAATGACAAAATCGTAATCTTCTACGAATCATGAAGCTTGGAGACTCAGTCGGCCCAACCTCTTCTACGGATGCCACCCGAGTTGACATCGCCCGTGTGGGTGTATGGTGGATGGCCGACTTTCCGCTTTTGTGGAACATTTTACATTAAATCAGTGTAAGGCGCTGGAACTGGTAGGAACATTTTCCCTTAAGAGCTACATTTAAGCTGCATGAGCCGTGCCATTGTGTATAGAGCTCGCATGACCTTCATACGGTGCCTAATCGGACGATAAAAACCGCTGAATTTATGTCCGTATTCAACAAGCTCACTTCTACCAGATTTATTCCCCCACGCTCAGCGGGCGGCTTTTTCAACCTCTCCATTCACGTCTTATCCACATGGCTGTGAATTATCGGCCTCAGCCCATATGGCAGGGCAGCCGGAGTTCGACGCTCCCCATCCAAAGCACAACTGACACCGACATGGCAGGCCAACGGGCTCGCGATGTAAAACGCTAGATGGAACGCTGATCCTAATTTACATTCATGTTCAGATGGCAAGCCCGTGGAATGCCACCCGGGGCATCGTTTATCAATCTGGGACCATCACTTCGGATCGCTCGGTTATTTTTATTTACCGTCCTCAGGCGTTAAAAAGAGACTGCAAAACATGACCTGTAACGCTATCGTGGCTGTTGTGTCCTACAGCACCGCGGAATGACATAGAAAGAATTCCACAGTTTCTTCTCCACGCACAAAGCGGCCACCCATCTGTTAATATCATATCAGTCTCTTGTTGTTTGTTGTGCGAAATCCCAAGCACAAGTGCATTCTGCTTTCAGCGAATCACAACGTTAAATAGCAGTGTGAGGTGTGTGCGTGAGAGTGCGTGGCGCTTCTTTCCGAATGCTTGTATTCGTGGTCTGGACCTTTGCTCATCTACTGGTTGCGAGTCTGTGGATCCAAGCTATTGTTTTCTGTATTACTTTATTCGTTTGCCATGGTGTAATAATCATCATATGATTAAAAGCTTACCTTTTCGTGCCTTTCACCTCTTCCCTTTCGGACGCAAATAATGATGACTTGGAGCATAAGTCTCTGTATCTGGAAGATATGAATCATGAGCGTATCTCGCTACTTGACGACAGCTACTAAAAGCGCTGGCTTCACAAGATTTCTGGTGGTTTCTAGTGCTGTTTACGAGGTTTGCGTGTGCAAACAGACCCGGACGTCTTGTGCGTAGTGCAACGTCCAGCGCAGCGAAGACTGCGGTCCACGAGCCGCCGACAAAGGTGGCGCGTTCCGCGAGCCGCCGACGAACGTGTCGTGTTCCGCGAGCCGCCGACGGACGTGGCGCGGTCCTCGAGCCACTGACGAACGTGGCGCGTTGAGCTGACGGCCGACGAACGTGGCGCGTTGAACTAGCGGCCATCCCCATGACGCTAGCGTCAGTTTGACAAACGAGCCTCAGCCGCCACCGGGTCGGGTCAGTGTCCTGGTGACCTCGCGGTGTCCAGCGGCGTCCAGCCTATGATCATTACCCACCGGTGATGGGGTCGTCCTTCGGCCGCGCGCCCGGCCAACCCAATCTGGCTGCGCAGCGTGCCGTGACCAAACAAAGGTCAACATCACAGGAGGTGTGTATTCAATGTAACCAAGCCGCTATGAGGGATGACAATGGAGATTGTTCACGGTTCGGCTGGGCGCCACGCCGGAAGCGCGGCGGGCGAACTGCGGCGAGTGCGGAGGCGCCACTACGTAATCGCCGCGCACGTCTCCCGCGGGGTCGGGCCCCGCTACTCGGGAGCCACCTCCTCCGCGGACACCGGTGCTCAGTCGCCGCAACTGGCCGCATATATACACGGGCACGCTAACACAGTCTCATGGCATATCACTGTCGCCGCCGACGCGTCAGAGCGCCTCGGAGCTCGCTGGCGGACGCGCGCGCGCCTACAACAGGCTGAATTGCAGCGACACGCCCAGCGAGGCGACGTCGACCTCGAGCGAGCTGGCGGCATCAGCGCCGCGCGCCGCCTTCTCCCTGCCCAGCGACTTGAAGCAGACGTTGTTGAGCGGCCGCATTTTCTCCGTGTCGACGGTCACCTTGTAGGCGTTCTTCTTGAAGGCGGATGGCGTGAGGCCGACGCGCGAGTCGCACAACAGGTTGGCGCACTGGTAGGAGAACTCGGACTTGGCGGGCACCGCGCCGCCGTCCTGGCCGAGCTGCGCCAGCTTCTGCCGCAGGCACGTCTCGGCCAGCTCCGGACAGTCGAACGAGTGGATCTTGTACGCCTGGTAGAAAAGGAAACGCTGCAAGCTTCTTCGAGGTGCCCGAGTAGGTGGGGTTGAGCACCATGATCTTGGTGCCGGTGCAGGAGTCGTCGTCGGCGCTGACGACGCGCACCTGCGTCAGCGGCGTGTCGACCGTCGTGCCGATGTCGTTACTCTGCAGCGCCTTGAAGCAGGCCTCGCCCTCCATCTTCTCGTCGTCGTAGAGGATGTAGTTGTAGTACCCGAGCGCCAGCTCCTCCATGTTGGAGTGGCAGATGAGACGCATGCACGAGTCCATCTCGCCCAGCCAGGTGGCGCCCAGCTTGTTGATCAGCTCCATCTTGGCCGGGTCGCCGACGCACGAACTCAGCACGGACACAACCAGGTCTCTGGCCAGCTCGAGGCGCGCGTACTGCGGCACGAAGCCGGCGGCGGCCGAGCGTGCCTGCGGGCCCGAGTACATGGTGACGTGTGTGACGGCGCTGCGCTTAGCGGCGCCGCGCTGGCTGTGCGGCTGCACGTGCATGGCCGGCCGCGTCACCTGCAGGTCCGAGTCGCACAGGATGAACGCCTCGAGCGGCTGGATCGAGCTGCCCTTGAGCGCCGACAGCAGCAGCAGTCGCTGCTTGGCCAGCCGACCGGCCGAGCACGACGAGTCGTAGAACACCAGGTGCAGGTCGCCGGCCGCGTAGAACGTCACCGGGAAGTTGGATTTGCGATAGGCGTCGCGTGACTTGCGCACGTCATCGAGGCAGCGCGCGCCCTCGGCCGTGCGCTCGTCGACGCTGACCGAGGCGTAGGTCACGCCGCCGGCGCCATGCACGGTCATCACGTCTGCCGTGCACAGGATGCCGACGCACGTCTGCGGCGCGCTGATCTGGTGCAGCTGCAGGGCGTCGGCGCTCAGCGCGTTCCCCTCGATGTCCTGCAGCGGACGCGCCACCAGGCACTCCATCAGGTTCAGCGACTTGGCGCGCGCCGCCGCCAGCGCCAACAGCAGGGTCAGCAGGCTCTGCGGAGGGAGACGTGGCGAGTCAGCAGACGTGCCGTGGCGTGACGCGTGATGCGTGATCCTGCCCGGTCGCCGGGCGGCGGGACGGGGGGGGGGGGGGATGGCGCCGCGCACGCCGCACATCCGCCCGGCGGCGGTGGCAGGCACGCGAGAGCCCCGACACGGTACGCTGCGCGCGCAGCGTGGGGATCTGTGGCGGATTTGCACGGCTCGGTGGCGTTTACGTGCAGCGATGGTAGGTGAGCGTGGTGAATGGGTCGGTGAACACCACAATAGAGGCGGCGGTCGTCAGGTACGACAATCTCGCCCTGAAAATCGGCGATGGGGTAACCACATCGCCGCAAGCGAAACGCCTCTGGTGTGCTTATCTATTTCACGGTGGCAAGCGCAGGAGTTTGTCTCCAAATTGAATGAGAATATTGCCCATAAAAAATGGCGCACACCTTATCAACAGTTATTCTCACCTACCACGAACTTCCCGGATTTCATGGTTTGTAAGCAGCCTGCATCCGGTGCAGCACTTCGTCCGCCTACCCACCGAAACGTGGGAAAAAGGTAATGGTGGCGCTTCTAGAGGGCTGGAAGCTCGGGCTCACGAGTTTGTTTATTTTGTCTCCATTCTTGTCAAGCATCTCCACCTAATCAATGTTAAACGTAAACCGACGAAACGTTAACCGATGTTAAACGAGCTGACCCTTGCCTCCAGAGCCCCCTCCCGTGGCAAGCGGGCGGTGGTCAGCAGCGCACCGTGGCGCAGCGCCCGGTGGGATTGTCCCATGAACTCGTCGATCAGTGTCAGTCGCGTTCCCAGGCCGCTGGAGCGCTTCAACACATCGACCTTGGCGGCTGCGCGCGGTGCGTGGCAGGCATGCGCCGGCGAGCGCGAATTATCCGGTCATTGCCGGGCAGAGGCAGCAAAATGGGCCGGGCCCAGGGACGACTGCCCGCTCTGTAGACAGATCAGCGCCCTCCGAGTAGCAGCCTATGGGCAGGGCTGGGCCAGCGCAACCAGACCGGCGGTCTCCGAACAGTGCAGACAGGCCAGCGGTCTCCGAGCAGCAGCCGATTGGCCGGGCTGTGTCCAGCACAGACAGACCAGTGGTCTCCGAACAGCAGCTGATTAGCTGGGCTGTGTCCAATACAGACAGGTTAGCTGTCTCCGAGCAGCAGCCGATTGGCTGGGCTGTGTCCAGCACAGACAGACCAGTGGTCTGCGAACAGCAGCTGATTGGCCGGGCTGGGTCCAGCGGCCTTAACTGTCGGGATGTGCCTTAAGGACACGCTGTATTCCGACTGTGACCAGTCACAACAGCGTGCGCAGTGCCCCGGTCTCGTAGTCCGGGACCTGCACCGGCACTGAGCACCATAATGTCAGCTGATCCATGACCTCCTAGTCCCAAGGTCCTCTCGGTCCGGAAGTCGGGTCACCGATCTACACGAGACCGACCGTCGGTTGGCGTGCGTTCAGCCAGTCAGCGGAGAGCGCTCGAGCCGGTTGGCACCCGTGGTCTCGTCCCCCACAGGAAGCCAGGTCGGCGGAACTCGACCCGACCTTGCCGCGGGCTGTTCAACCCTGGCGCTGCATTCCGCTCGGTGCTCGCCGATCTCATTTTCAATCGTTGATAAAGAGGAATGATTGCTGTGCTGTGGGAAGGGAGGGAGCGCGCGAAAGAGAGAGAGAGAGAGAGAGAGAGAGAGAGAGAGAGAGAGAGAGAGAGAGAGAGAGAGAGAGAGAGAGAGAGGGAGAGAGAGAGAGAGAGAGAGAGAGAGAGAGAGAGAGAGAGAGGAATAGAGAGACCATAGATCTATCGTTAGGACTAATTTGTCGCTTAGCGCGTCCTACATAGCGGTAAGAGGGTATTTATTGGCTTTTAACATTTTAGTTTCGCCGGTGAAAGCTCCGAAGGCAAAAAGTGGACTGGCCCACTCCCTGCCCGACATACTGTTACTATACATAGACGAATAGTTTCATGATTTGGTTTTTGCCCTCACTCTGTTGTCGTTTAGGCGGCTTTTTGAGTGAGGACGCATCCACACATCTGTGAGTATAAGCGGAGGCACGCAAAATACTAACCGCATATGCAGTTGTGTCCATACCACGCCTCTTAAAAGATGATCACCGAAACATGCCATCGTAAGCTCACAACTTTACGGCAACATCATCTGCATACAAGTTGCGAGGGTTGCAAGAAGCAAGTGGGAAGGTAGTGTTTAAAGCTTCCCCGCTGGAGAACGAAGACAAACAATTGCACTCGTGTGTACTCCCAGTGGCAAGCATCCAACTCTTCATTTATAAGCATCTCTCCAATGAACATCACCCCTACCCGCAGTGGAGCACGCACGCGTCGGGTTTTAAAAGACTAGATTGCAAGGGCTCTCACCACAATTGCAAATGACTCCCCGCGGAACCAGCTCTTCCATGCTTACCGCAGATAAACAATATCACCTGACTGTAACGTGTTAGCCCAAGCGTTGTACAGCGCTGGACTACGCTACGCTCACAACTGAAGTACGGGGGCAATAATATCAGTGCAAGCATGCACAATGTAAGCTGAGAAAATGTCCTTCTGTGAAGAAATAACATGGGCAACTAATGCGTGCCATCAAGGATATGTTGCGGACCCAAGTTAGTACCACTGATCTTACATATCACTAAAACACACATCCGATCAAGGTATAGTTGACCCTATTTTCTCTCAATTGCTGCTTCAAGAAATGGGTGGATTCGCTCAGCTGGCATTCAATATTTGTGTGATGCTATTCCACCGTAGGCCAGCAAAGAACATCGTTGTAATTGAAGATCGAATGTGTGAGCTGATCCTAGCCCAAGGTCTTGTAACGTCATGGAATCTCTTCGGCGCTCCTACCATGCCATCTTCTCATCCCGTCAGGTAAATGATGCCTGTACCGTGTGTACGTAAATACGACATGAACTGGTTTCACCCGGCCTGACAGCTTACTCATTACGAGCAATCTAAATGACGAGGGCAAAGATTGCGGATGTCACACCGCGCCACCGCCTGACTCGTTTGCTTTGCGGCAGCACATCTGGCATGGAATGACCGAGAGTGGCCCACATCTCCCGTTGTGCCGAAGCAGGCGACCAAGTCTTGAGTGCCGACAAATACGCAGACAGGCTGATGATCACGCCGACCACAGTTTTGCAACTTCAAAAACGCGCGTCTGAAGGGAGCTGATGCAAAGTAAAAACCGAGCTATTTTCTTCCAATGTTCTGATCACTCTGAGATTGCCGGCAATGCCAGCCGACAAACGAGCGTTCAAATATAATCAAGTAGTGTTAAGATACATATCTATCTCTGAAATGGCTGCTTGTGTAATTTCTGTCAATCGCCCCTAATTGTCCACGTCAGCGAACTTTCCAGGCGGTTTATTAGAGCGGCTGTTGCAGCATGGCACCGGCCAACAGGTGAACAGCAACGCCTGTGTTGTAAGCGCACAAACCACTGAGTAGGGTCCGCATTCTCCACAAAAAGCTCCGCTCCATCAGGCTGTAGTGCTATGCAGGCGAGGTTGTGCCTTTGCTGGCCTGGGGGGGGGGGGGGGGGGGCGCCGACCCAGCTGTTTCGAGTCGGCAGGAGCGGGTGGGAGGAGCGGCGACGCACCTGCAGACGACGGACCTCATCGGATGTGGGTCAGTGAGACATTGTCGGGGTCTGTACTGATGATGATGGTGACTGTAATGTATCTGTAATCGAAAGTTTTATACTGACATTGGCAGTAATCGACCCAATTGTCATGTGTTATTGCCTCTTGGGCAGGGTGCTGACAAGCGAGCGGCGATGGGCGGCCGAGTGGGGGCATTTACGTCCATTTTGGCGCGTCGTTCGGTGGTTAGCAGGAAATCGCCGGTTGCTTTCATGTCAACCTCGCTCAAACCGCCCCAAAATCAAGCCCTGGCGTTTCAGTGAGGGCTGCAACTTCAGAGATACAAATGATTGTGACTGAAATTTTTGTATATGCATCGGCTAATCGCATGTTAAGCGGTCTGTACCGGCCGAAATAAATTTCTGGCACACGGGTGGTGGGTGGTCGTTGAGATTGGGGGCCCGTGAATCTTTCCCAGGTTAATTTGTCTATATCCCGCGTAAATCGGCGACCCGGTTAGGTCACTGCTGCAAGTGTGGCCACGCAAGTGTCTGCATGACACCTTCAGCACCATTACCTTGATCTTCCGTTGCATAATGCTGGCCATGGGCATATACGCCGAATTGCTCTAAAAGTAGGTATGCTGTGACCTTGCAATTGACTATTCCAATTGTCTTTAATTTAACCTGCAGCGTATGACGCATTCGGTGTCATTGAGTTCCGTGGCTTAGCAGCTCCAATTATTCCATGTTTCCGTGTTATTTGAAAGCGAGTAACCGTGACTCTAGTGCCAGAGGTTCTCTACATGTGACATGCAGTATTATGGAGCTACAGTCCAGGTCCTTTTCCAGTACTCAGTTTATTTATTTGGCGCAGTTGTCCTCATCCATGTGGCTTTATTACTTCCATCTACGTGGTTAGTTGACTACAACAATGCTGACGATTCAGGGGATTGCCTTCGCCGCAGAGTCGTGCGTGGAAATCATACATAGCATTGAAGTCAGACCTGTTGTAATCGCGTGTGGAAAACAAATAAATCCTACGTGACAACAAAGCATGAAAAACAGCGGTAAGAGTCCGTGCTTAAACACGGAAACCACATGATGAAGCATAATGGTATCCCAGAACGCAAGGAGTTTCGACAGTTGCTTGCTCGTAGCTGGCAGAAAAATATTCCCTTCTGATTCTAAGCCGGCGCGATAAACTGACAAGCGTGCATTCCGCTCCGGTTATCCGAACGCACCGAAAGGGGATTTTACGGACGATTGACTGAACGGGTGCAGATTCGCACGTAACTGTCGATGGCGCATGCCGCGCCGTGTCGTGAGAGGGCCGACTGCGTGCGTCGGTATTTAATCACCAGATGACGTCTGCTTTAGTTGTTCACTGGACTGGAATATCCATAGCGGCCAGCAATCATCAGTCATCTGCGGATCCGGGACGAGCCCATTACGTGAAGCGGGTCTCGTCGGAGCGTCACCGCCTGTCCGGCGTGACCCGGTGGCCTTGGGCGGCCCCCGTAGACGGGTAACCGCTCTCTGACCATCTGCAGCACACCCTGGTCAGGACCCTCCGGCCACGTGCAGCGGCCAGGCACGACCGTCTTCAAGGTGAGCCTCTCCCCTGGTGGTGAGAGGGGCGTCACGGAGGGGGCTGTGGGTGTGAGAGGGGCGGCACGGCACACTCAAAACGGGATGCGAAGCTCCGGGTGTGCGACCAGCACGTTCATCGACTTTTGACGTCACTGGTGACGAGCACGTGAATGAGCGGCGAGGTAGGCAGACGGAGACGATCGGAATCCCGTCAACAACAGCAAACCATCGCGCCGGAGAATTTATCCCGACCGAGAGCCAATGCACTGTCCGCTGCGGCAGGAGACCGCACGAGCGTCCATCACGCCGCAGCGCCCGCCGGAACGTCCGGCGCCGCCGCGGACGTCGTCTCGCGGCGCGGCACACATTTCGTCGCATGAGCGGGCGGACCATCTGCGGCGGCGGCGGCGGCCGGACGGCGGCCGCGAGCCGACGCGGCCCGGCGGCGCCACCGGAGCGGAACTGCCACGCGCGCCCGGCACGGCCCGGCCCGGCCCGCCGCCGGCGGCTCCAGACCGGCCGGACTGGGGTGACCGGGGCTCCAGGAAGCGGGCTAGGAACCGAGCAGTACGCCCCCGTGCGGCCTCTGGGTCCGCTCGAAGCGAGATGATCTCGCTAAACGCTGCCTGCTTCGTCGGGATGAAGTTGTTGTAGATCTGATTCATATGAGCGTTGGAATCTACTGACACTTTTTCATGAACTCGAAGTTGGTTATTTTGATGCATTTTTTTGTAGCGGGGGTTCCATGTAACACACACCCGGACGGCAGCAACGCTTGCTTAGAAACCACAATGCAACGAGCATATGCCATAACCCACATTCAAAATTACGTAAGTTGTTGAGTGCATTTGCGAAGAACATTATGCATGTAGATAATACAGTACTAATAGCCCCATTCCCCGTAGAATAACCTGAAGAATGGAGAGATAGATGGATTTGTAGTTCGACTACATGCTTTTATCAAAACAAATATCAGTGCTTAGGTTACTGACGCTACTATCAGAAGTGATCCTAGCGATACGCGTTTTGATAAATGTATGCAGCTGAAATATAAATTCATCTATCTCTCAATTCCTCTGAATAATCATCGAGATATAGGGCTATTAGCACTGTCTTACCTACAACCCATATTCACATTAAAGACAGCAGCTCCCCGTGGGACCGTTCACTCGGACAAAGGTGTGGACAAAAACAAGACGAAAGGAGGCTTTCAGAACCGGCCATACAGTTAGGCAAATAATCGAACGGAAACTACGGCACCAAATGCCCAGGACACTTCCTGGTCAATTTCCAGGTGGCCCTGCATTGTGCCGGCCTTGGGGCCGGAACAGTATATCCCACGCATGCCTGCAGTCATGCCAGTTGTAATGCTGCTGTCCCACGAGCCCTATTAGAGCTGCGATTTCCCACTTCCCGGTTGGCGCTGGTCCCGCACTTCCCATTCCGCTCAGCTCTGGGGACGCGGGTGAGGTCGATGCCCCAGGAATAACTCGCAACGATGTCACTTGCATTCCTCTCCCCAGAACCGGCCGCGCCGGTGACCGGACGTAATCGGTATACCGTTCTCCTGCACACTTGGCTGAGTTTCCCGGTCACTGGTGGGGTCATTGCGGTGACAACGGGTGGAATGTTAAGAGCGTGAGCGGCATAAAAAAGGAGTTCGCTAGGCTGCTCCCATGTGCACTGGTATGGGTTGGGTGTTGGGCGGTCTCACAAAGGGACTCCTCCGACATTCCGATGGTCGGAGAAACCCAACGCGTTCATTCGGTTTTATGATCGGAGCACAGACATTAAAGCAATCTCAGAAGACGATGTACGTGTTGCAGCCCGTCGCACCAGGCGTGCAAGCTTCTCTCCTCATTGCGCCAATGGGAACTCCTTTGAGTTAATGATCCATTCACACTCGTCCAGCCGCATGTTCACAACATGAACCCGCGCCACTTGCACTGTAGATGGAAAACGGCAACAGCGCTCTGGAGTCGCTTGATTCGCCTCGGAGGTATTCAATTGTCGGCCACAAGCGAGCGATACTGCACGTGCTTTGAGCTAGGAATTGTGCTTTATCTGATTTACGTTTTCGCTAACGCCGGTCATTCAGAGCGATATGATTTCCATTCCATACCGTGTTTTTTATACGTGCGCTTCTCCTTTCAAGAGAAGCCAGTGAGATAGGGCTCGCGAGGGTAATAGGCGACAAAAAAGCTGGTTTACAACCTCGACAGTACAACGGGTGCTAAGTAAAAAAATCGTCACAGCTGTCGAAAAGGTTCATGTACTCCACATGGGGCCACTGGCAAATGCGATCACGCCAAGCAAATTACGAACACGCAGACATCGTTGTGACGGCAGCCGTGGAGAAACGACATAAAAACCAATGTCTGGACCACCTTTTCAAACATTCTGGAGAATTCCAAGATATTATAAATGTTCCACTCCAAAGATAATGCAATGCACATCCTGTCCTCGATGTGTTCGTTTAATGAACAACGCGCGGAGACATGCCAACTGAGATGAGCATTCCACAACGACGCGAACTTACTCACAGCCCGGGGGCAACGACCGTCACCTTTCCCGCGCTCTGAGAAAGTCTGGCGCTGTTGTGCAAGGTATGCCTGACAGCCCGCGCCTCCTCTCATTGCACACCGCTGCACCATCAGAAGATGTACCGCCGTGGGAGGCAGACATGACTACACGCGCGGGGGAAGGCGAAGGGGTAAAGCCGTACTGCGGACCTGGTCCGCTATGACTGGTGGTAGCGATGGCCCCACCGGCCAACGACGGCGTGATAGACGCTGCTGTCTGGCCTTCCGAAACGGAACTTGCATGTACAGTGTGTAGAAATTTGCAGGAAATTCGACGTTGGATTTCGTCACGAATACGGAACGTTAGAGAGCCGAACTGATCTTCAGGAAAATCTAACTTCTTGCAAAACGTTTCAGAAATGGCATAGCAACACTCGCTCACCATCCCCGCTTTTCACGCCGGCTAATCATTATTCCACAGTAAGCACGAACAGTCTGATTGCACCGGCCACAAAACACGGGATTTGCATCGCATCAGGCGGTCTCTCAACTAAAGTCGGCAGAACGGCGTCAGCCACGTCGCAACGTTGCGGCCAGCCACATGCAGCGAGCTAGTGTTCCTGTGTGCGTCAGCAGCGGTTCAAAGGTCCCACCCCGCGTTACCCCTCCCCAGCCCTGCAGCACGAATTACAGCTCAGAGCGAGGACATTTGCATGAGAAGCCCACCTAGTTCACTCGCGGTCCTCCGGGTTTTACCGAAAAAGTTCTCTTTCCAGATACACGATCTACTATTGTGTATCGTGCCAGCCGTTTGAGTGCGTGTTGAACTGGCCCACAGACCAGCCCTTGTGATGGTAGCACTCTGCCTGGTTGGACGTAGCATGCGAAGTGCACACACCGCCGGACACAGCCCTGCCTCAACCCGCAGTGCGGGCTCACTCCGTGGTCGAGAGGCAAATCAAGCACGCTAACCACAGCGACATTTGATTCTCACGTACCTGCCGGGCGATCTTCCTTCCTGATTCCCGGCCCTGCGCAATCTTGATAGTAAAAACGCATAAAACCCTCAGCAGCCAATGAATATATACTTGGGCCTGTGTGGACAGCGCACGCGCAACACGGCGATCTCCGCCACCTACCTGCAGCATGGTCTGTCTCTCTGAGTCTGGTGGACTGAGCTCTCTCTGTCACGGCCGCCTGGTGAAGAGCTCGGCGCGCGGCAGAGGTGCAGGAGCTGGCACCGGCGCGGGCTTCGGTAGTCGACTGCCTGCCCGCCGCGGCCGCCGTCCGCTGCTCACCACTCGTCTGGCCGGCCGGCCCGCCCTCCCGCCCGCCCGGCCGCCGCACTCCCACACGCCGCCGCTGCGGGGCTTCCCGAGGGGTCGACCGTGGGGCGGCCGGGCGGCGTCTGATGGACGCGCGTGTCCCTCGTGGCTGTGGGCGGCGCCTTGCGAGGAGGCCTAAGGCCCGACATACCCTACCTCTTGTGACTCCAGTGAAGCTGGTGGTGAAGTTAGCGTGTATGGTGTGTTGAGACTTTTCGACAACTTACAGCATGCATTTGCGCCAGTCTGATAACGGTGTCTGTCAAAGCGCGTGCGAGAAGGAACCATCTTTTCGCATTTAGCTGGTAGATATTTCTCGCAGTTTCTTGCACAAGCAGAAGATGAAGGCTGTGCGGAGGCCAGTCCGTTGAACACCTACCGCGAAGATCCAACAACAATGATCTGCGCATCTCCGTCCAAGGGACTGCTGGTGGACGCCTGGGTTATGCAATATATTCAAAGCCTGAGCGAGTGGAAAAGCGTCACACGCGAATGGGCCCGGATAATGTATGAGCGATGTACAGCTAAGAAGCGCAAGCTCAGACACATATTGTATTACTGGGGCTAGGTCAGTGTAATGCCACCGAAGGCAGCGCTAACGCTGGCAATGTCGTCGCATTGTCGCGCGGCGGAGCAATTGCAAACCGTTTGTTTTTCTCGTTGTTAACCCGCGGCTGGCCAGTGGGAAGTTGACCTCCCCTGCTACAGCTTTTCGAGCACAGGTAAAAAAAAGCGCTTGCAGCAACACGCAATTTTCATTATCTGCTCATCTCAATTTTTCATCCTTTGCACGGGACTAATGTTTTGATCGATCAAGATCAGTGACCTATGCCAGGTCAGAGAGATCGATCTCTAAGAAACTTTGACCACACGTGACTTTTAAGGGGGTCATTTGTCATTATTCAAACATCTTATAGTAACAGAAATAGGCAGTACCTACAGTTCGCGTATTTCAGTTTTTCGACAAGGGCGAGGTCAGTGATTTGAGGTCAGGTCATTTTTTGCTATTTTGTCAACACTAATGCAAATTTGTACGAATTTTTGTGTACTTTTAGCGCTAGTGTATGAGAAAAGGAATGCAAGTTTACATGCACAGCCATCACATGACCACAGACCATGGCCCAAGTCACGACCTATCTATATGGATACCTTCAGCAAAACACATGCTGAACCCAACATAGGCAGTTTCTTCGGGAAATTTTGGACACAGAATTTGAATGCTCCACTGAAAACGTGTTGCAATATCATTTTAATGCATAGTGGGGACAAAATATATCATGTACATGCAGTCATGTGAGGCCATTAATGTACATGCAGTCATATGAGGTCATGCAAAGGACAATCATCTATGTTGCCAGTAACGGAGAGGCTACATTAAAGAGTGCGATGCATGTAGCCACCTCCTTAACGTGTTTGTGGAGCTGGTTACGCATAATTGCATGTGCCAACGTGCCTGTTCTCAGTTTGTTGTAAATACATTGCCAAGCGTCGAAGGGGCTGTGTACACTGTAGACAACAGCTATGCCATGTTGAAAGCCTCTAAATGTGCAACACACTGTTTCTGACCACAGATCGCAGATACACGGCTAGCTCTTCATTTTTTCATTTGGATTGCTCATGAATTGGACCTAAATTGACCTTAGACGACCTCTAGGTCAGCCTAATATCGTCATTTTGTGTCTGAAATACTTCTGTCTCACAGCTGCATGTCATGAGATAAACTTAGACGCATATTGTGAAGAAAAGTATCGCTCTTGTATGCTACTGTTAGAGCAATCTTGAACGGTGACCTGATCTGACCTGACCCATGTGGGGGAACAGGAGTGGTCGGAATGGACTCCCCACGGTCTTAACGCTTATTCCGTGTCTTTAATATCCGTCTCGACATGTTAACATAGGCTTTAACTGCATCTAACGGAACGACCGCTTTTGACATTTGGTCAACTCTGCTGACATCACATTTAACCGAACATAAGAAATTTAGTGAACGTTTTTCATGATTTGACGAGACCTTCAAAACGGCATCTTTGTTTTTTCCTGCGGCGTCTGAAAGACGGAGATCCCAGGGGGAAGCAGCCTCACCCCCCCCCCCCCCCCTCCTCCCGCCGCGCGTGCTTATCTCAGGCCCCCTGCCGAGTGCGGGTTAAACATGGCTTGCCTTCCCAAAGCATCTTTGCAAACAACTTTTGCATGCTAGCTAGGTAGACGCTGCCAGAGTTCGGATATCAAGTGTCCATGCCGTATTGCATTATTGGCCTGGTTCAGTGGAAGGCAAAGGGGATGGACCAGTGCAATCAGTCGGAGTTGAATCAGGAAAGAGCAATGCTGAGCTGTCCGGGAGTTGAATGGAAACACAGAGTGCACACACTCCTTCTAGGTCTGCACCACCATAAATGTTCATGGTGCAGCCATTAACGCGATCAAATGTTCTCTGGTATGATGCTTTTAGACTGGAAAAGTTTCGGTGCCACGAACTGGATCAATTCGATCCAGGCGAAGACGATGCACTAGACGCACTGCTGCTGCAATGATCCTCATGTGTGTCAACAATAAGCAAAGCGGGTTTTCAGCCCGTGTCGCGGGCTGAAACTGCATTCAGTTGTGCCTGGCGAACAGGGGGATGAAAAGACGATCAAGTTAGATGACTTTAGGGATTTTCCCTCGCGTTGTGCCTCACATTCCGGAGAGCGGACAGGGGGTGGGGCTATATTTGCCCATTGGCAAATGAAAAGGGGGCGGTTGCACCCCTTTGGCACCCCTTTGGTAGCCCTACACACACTCCACACTCCACTCCACACACACACACACACTTCACACACACACACACTCCTGGGCGTATCCACAGGGTTTGTATACGCAGCTTCTGCTAGCTTGAAAAAGAAAGTACTGAATGAAAAGAGGTCTCCTCGACTAGCATTAATAATTTATAATATATTACGACGTAATGGATGTGAAGCAGAATGCATCTTAAGTTGCATGCTTTCGTGTGCAGCACGGGGCAAAAGCCAGTGCCCGACTGATGGGAATTGGGGGGGGACATATGTGATCTCCTGAATGACCTTCCAGTGGAATGATCATCCAGTGCATGAATGATCGTTCCCGCAGCTGGCTTTCGTTGACGCATATACGCTGCTGGGTATCGATCCCAGACTGCCTATGAGGCAATTAGCTGCAGGAAAGTCTGATCTTGATTCACTTGTGCGACCTCGGCGGCGCCAGCTGCGGAGAAACTCAGCGCGGTCCCGCCTGGACGCCGCCTTGCGGCGCGCGCGTAGCCCGGAGAAACGCCGCAGTCATTGCACGCAGCTGACATTGGACCGCGCGCGCGCCGTCAAACCGCTCGTCTGGGCGGCCGCTGCGGCCGCAGCCACCGCCGCCCCGCCAGAAACGGCGCGAAAGCGCGCGAAAAGCGTCGCGGCAGCCCGCTTTCCCGTCCTCGCAGCGCGCGGAAAGTCGAGGTGGCACACCGCGCGGGTTCTTGTCGGGCTTCTTCGAGAAGAACGCGGCTGGGGCCTTCGCTGCGGGTTGCGGGATGTCGGACCGCGTGTCCTTGCGTACGGACATGAATCAGCTGTGGTGCCGGGCCGCGCCGTCAGGACACGCTCCGGCATTGCTGAACCGCGAGCTCTTTAACGCGAGGCGGGGCCCGAAGCTGAACTGATTATGTAGGGCCCACTTTACGCTGATTCGAAAGGGAGGATATATGTGGAACCGTGACCTGGTGGACGTGATTGCCGGAACGCCATCTGTTAGCAAGCGGCCTCCAAACGAATCCGCCAAATTTAACGCAATCTGGGGGCAAGCGGACCGAAAATGATCCTGTAATGGGGGTGCTCGGTTTCTGAAGGCTGCCCGCGTTGGTTACATCAGCCGCCACGCGCTCGTGGTGAATCGGGACAATAACAGCGGGTCATTCAATTCAGGTCTCGTGGGGACGGGGCTGACGACTGTTCGGTGCCTGGGGCGGCCCGCAAATCCCACACACCAGATGAGAGTCGGACAGCCGGTGAGGTTCACACAGCAGCTGCGAAGCCTTCGATAGGCGATCATCACCACGTGCGACTGCTGCAGGGGTCAGCCGGCAGCCGGTGAGGTTCACACAGCGGGTCCGGAGCCTTCGATAGGCGATCATCAATTAAAAGGCGTGACTGCTGCTGGGGTCAGCCGGCAGCCGGTGAGGTTCACACAGCAGGTCCGGAGCCTTCGAGAGACGATCATCAATTAAAAGGCGCGACTGCTGCAGGGATCAGCCGGCAGCCGGCGAGGTTCATACAGCAGGTCCGGAGCCTTCGAGAGACGATCATCAATTAAAAGGCGCGACTGCTGCAGGGGTCAGCCGGCAGCCGGCGAGGTTCATACAGCAGGTCCGGCGCCTTCGATAGGCGATCATCAGTTATCGGGCGCGACTGCTGCAGAGGCCGTTGGCAGCCGGTGGGTGTCAGACGCGATATATAAACGAATCATTAGTAGATTGACAGGTTGTTCCATTCCACAAAGCAAGAAATTAGTACCTGAAGAATGGATGTGTGCTCAAACTGCTCATTAATCGCGTCGCCGAGCAGCAGCAAGACAGTGGGTAACGATGTGGCTGCCGCGCCTTGACTTGGACGTTTCGGTGTCAATTGGAGCCGTTCTCGGCATGTAACTCCTGAACATGAAACTGGTTTGTACTAGTATTGTCGCGGAAAAACAATGGTGGCTGAAAGGAAAGTGAATGTTTTTACCGCGCTCGCTGATAATGTAACTGCCATCTTTTTGTGATGTTTCATGATCGGGCGTCAAGGGTTCCTGAAGCCAATGTGAGGCTCAAGCGGTCAACACTGTAAAGATATGTCAATATGGCATACCAGACTAATGACGAATGCCAGCATGACTGTCACGCCTATAAGAACATCAGATGTGATCACACTTGGTGTTGCAAAGAGG